ACACACACACACACACACACACCATGGAATACTATGCAGCCATAAAAAAGGTTGAGTTCATGTCCTTTGCAGGGACATGGATGAAACTGAAAATTATCATTCTCAGCAGATTACCACAGGAACAGAAAACCAAATACCTTATATTCTCACTCATAACTGGGAGTTGAACAATGAGAACACATGGACACAGGGAGGGGAACATCACACACTAGGGCCTGTTGGGGGTGAGGGGCTAGGGAACTGATAGCATTAGGAGAAATATAATGTACATGATGGGTTGATGAGTGCAGCAAACCACCATGGCACGTGAATATCTATGTAACAAACCTGCACGTTCTCCACATGTATCCCCGAACCTAAAGTATAATTTAAAAAATCCTAATGGCATTTTTCATAGAAATAAAGTCCTAAAATTTGTATGGAATCACACACACACACACACACACACACACACACACACACACACACACAGAGACACACAAACTAGAATAGCCAAAGGAATCTTGAGAATAAAGGACAAAGCTCAAGAAGGCATCATACTACCTGATTTCAAAATATACTACAAAGGTAAAGTAATCAAAATGGTATGGTAGCAGCATAAAAACAGACACATAAAAAATAAATAAATAAATAAACAAATAAAGGGCCAGGCGTGGTGGCTCACACCTATAATCCCAGCACTTTGGGAGGCCGAGGTGGGTGGATCACAAGGTCAAGAGATCAAGACCATCCTGGTCAACAAGGTGAAACCCCGTCCCTACTGAAAATACAAAAATTAGCTGGGCATGGTGGCGTGTGCCTGTAGTCCCAGCTACTCTGGTGGCTGAGGTAGAAGAATTGCTTGAACTCAGGAGGTGGAGGTTGTGGTGAGCCAAGATCACGCCATTGCACTCCAGCCTGGGTAACAAGAGCAAAACTCTGTCTCGGAAAAAAAAAAAAAAAAAAAAAAAAAAAAAACAGACACAGACCAATGGAACATAGTAGAGAGCTCAGAAATAAACACATATTTATGGTCAACTGATCTTTTATAAACATGCCAACAACACAAAATGGGGTATAATGCTTGCAGTGGAAGGAAAACATATCATTATTTGCAGATAATATGATTGTCCATATAGGAAATCAAACAGAAAAAGCTTGAAACTAACCTTTAAAACTAATCAGAGCTAAACTAATTTCCTAAATACAAGACCAACATGCAAAAGTAAATACCAGTTATGCACAAGAAATAACTATAAAATGCAGTAGAAAAAAAGATAATGCACATATCAGCAAATTAAAATGTCTTAACTTTTTGAGGAATAAAGATTTTTTTTAAAGGATGTGCATGCCTTTAGAGATACATGTTAAAATACTATTGAAGCACAAAAAAGAACTGAGGAAATTGAGATATGTATCATAGTGGTGATTAAGACAAGTCAATATACAATAATGATATCAATTCTCCAGCTTAATAAATTCAATGTAATTCCAGTCAAAATCCCAAGAGAATATTTCACAGGACAGACAAATTTACTCAAACTATGGGAGGTGATGGATATGTCAATTAGGTTGATTGTGGTAATCATTTCATGACATATACATATATCAAAACATCAAGCCAGATGCAGTGGCTCATGCTTATAATCACAGCACTTTGTGGGGCTGAGGCCGGTGGTTCACTTGAGCCCAGGAGTTCCAGACCAGCCCAGGCAACAGGGTAAAACCCCATCTCTACAAAAGTGAAAAAAAAAATTAGCCTACTAAGTATCAGCTCAGTTGGGACACCCCCCGACCCAGGCGGCACTGAAGGTACTGAGAGGCGGACACCCAGATAGAACAGAGTGGATCTATCAGGGGTACCAACAGCCTGAGAACCTCAGGGGTTGATAGCATTCCAGGCTGAAGGCCCTGAGCAGATTCTCATCCTCGTATTTATTTGCTCTTAGACAGGTGACTCTTATTAATATACAGGTGCTCTACACTTACTGATAACTCAAAAATCTACCAAGTAGGTAGCTGTTACCTGCCTACCACTAATTACAAACTAAAAGGCATTCTCCACAAAGGAGCCATGGGGGCAGGGTAAACTTAATGTTTCTGAACATTAGCCAAGCATGGTGGTGCATGCCTTTCATCCCAGCTATTTGGGAGGCAGATGTAGGATTGCTTGAGCTTGCGGGGTGGGGGTTGCAAGAGCCAAGATCATTGTACTCCAGCCTGGGCAACAGAGCAAGACTGTCTTAAAAAAAAAAAAATCATATTGTATACCCTAAATAGATGCAATTTTTGTCAATCATGCCCCAAGAAACCTGAAGAAATTTTTAAAATATTAAAATTATATATTTGAAAAAGTAAAACATTAAGTAAAAACCAAACAAATTGAAAAGAAAATCAGACAAGGGGATTAGCATCTACACCAAGTACGTATCAAGTTTTATTTTTAATGTATGATAATTAAAATGTGGAATTGGTATAGAAACAGACATACATCAAGATTTAAAACTTAGGCTGGGTGCAGTGGCTCACACCTATAATCCCAACACTTTGGGAGGCTGAGGCAGGTGGATCACTTGAGTCCAAGAGTTCGAGACCAGCCTGGCCAACATGGTAAAACCCCCATCTCTACTAAAAATACAAAAAATTAGCCGGGCATCGTGGTGCATATTTGTTGTTCAAGCTACTCAGAAGGCTGAGGTGGGAGGATCAATTGAGCCCAGAAGGTAGAGACTGTGGTGAGCCAAGATCTCACCATTGCACTCCATCCTGAGCAACAAAACGAGGCTCCATCTCAAAAAAAAAAAAAAATTAAAACCCTAGAAATAGGCAAATATATTTGTGTATGTGTGTGTGTGTGTGTGTGTGTGTGTGCACATGTATACGCACACATATAAAATCAGGGTTTGGCAAAATTGGCTTTCTGTATGAAAAAATGAAATTCTATCTGTACATCACAGAGACACAACATATTTCAAAAAGAATGAAGACCTAAATATGAAGGGAAAAACTCCTCTTAAACTACTAGAAAAATAGGAGAATGTCTTTTTGATCTGAGGGTAGAAAAATGTTTCTTGTCCAATAATCTTTTTAAAAAGTTCAGTGTTAGAGAAAATAAATGTGACTACTTAACAGATTTTAAATTCTGTCACCATAAACAAAGTTAGTAGAAGATATATTTAGATGTGGTGGAAAAGCATAGATGGTATAAGACAGAACAGTCTGGGAACTATGAAAATCTATAACAATAACAAAAATAGCACCATTATGGACATCTACATGTCCATCAAAATTCTGTATTATTTTGTAATGTATATATAAAGAAAAGAGTCTGGAATATTGCCAAATAAGCTGATAAAGTTTCCTCTTGACAGGCAGACAGTAAAATGGGATTACAATTCTATCTACGAAATTTTAAGGTTTCACAAAATGAATGTTCATGTGTTTACTTCTGGTATAATTTAAAAAAAAAAAAAAAACAGGGAAGATGGGGAGGAACAGGGTAAGGAAGGTAAAGAACAGGAGGAAGAAGAAAGGGAAGCCAGAGAAGAAAAGGGAAAAATAGGACAAGGAGAAAGTAAGGGGAGGGTGGAAGGGAGGAGGAAGTGAACTAACTGAAACAAAAAATCAAATATTACATGTTCTCACTGATGAGTAGGAGCCAAACAATGGGTACACGTGGATATAAAGATGGAAACAATACTCACCAGGGTCTCCAAAACAGAGGAGGATGGAAGTGGATTGAGTTGAAAAGTTACCTATCAGGTATAATGTCCACTGTTTGGGTAATGGGTACACTAGTAGCCCAGTCCCCGTCAGTATGAGATATACCCATGTAACAAACATACACATGGACCCCCTGAATCTAAAATAAAATCAAGACTTTTAAATTCATGTGAGAATCTAAGAGCCACGGCTCTGAGAGGTAGAAAGGAAGGATTTTTTTTTTTTTTGGTCACTTAGCCACCTACACACATGTCTAGCATGATTGGTTTCCCTGTCAGTCCCTGTCTCCCCAGTCTCAGCATTCCTCCTATAGCTCCAGCTGTAACCTGAGCAAGAGGGTCCAATGCTAGCACCCCTTTCTAGAATGGAGACTGATCTTGGCTAAACAGCTTTAGACTAACATCCTGGGCTCAATATAAAATTACTCTTCCTCCTAGGCAGTTGTAGCTTCCACTTATGTGTAAGTTTCATTTTTTCCACTTTCTCCTGAGATTAGAGGCTAGCTTGTCCCCTAATGTTGGTTAGGGGGTTTCTGTCTTGCTCTCTGTGCTTGCGTCCCCATTAAGGTTATGACAACAGTACCTTAGTCACTTTAGGATTAGGCCCTCTGAGGAAGTAAAGACCTACGTACTTCTATCGGCTTGAATTACATAACAACTTTGAGGGGAATTGAATGGGTGAATCCCAGCTACCTGGTAGGCTTCCCAGAAGCCAATTCCCCATGCAGGTCTATAGACTTCAAGGATCACACGAGAGCACCGTGAAGCCAAAGAGTGACAAAAGGACACCATGCCTGCTAAAAATTTAAAGAATATATTCAACATGCTGTATGAGTCACTACCCAGATAGGAAAACCAAAGCATATGTTACTTTAAAAGCAATAATACACAGAATGGTTAAATACAAACGTGGCTAAACAAGTATTAGAGGACTGAAATGTGGAAAGGAAACGCAAGATAAGAAAAATGTAACAGAAGGTGAGAAGCCCAGATTCCCTCTCATGGAAGGACAAGGTGCCCCTGCAGTCAGCAGCCAGCCTTGAGCTTTCTACTACTTCATGGTTTGACACAGCTGCAGTGAGTTAGCCTGCCCCCAAGAACTGGTAAGAGGGACTCTATTTCTGGTGATAGGTGGAACACAAATAGCCCCTGGCACAAGGTGGGTATTCCAATGGTTAAAGCTCTCATAAGTAGTGACTTGGAATATGTGCCACTGGGGAAGAAATCACTAACAGATGAGATGGAGCAAGGGTTTGAGTTGTATTCATTTTCCAAACTATATAACAAATTACCACAAGCTTAGCATCTTAAGCAACATACATTTATTATCTCACAGTTTTTATTTGTGAGGAGTTGGACAGGCTTAGCTAGGTCTTTGGCTCAGGGTCCCACAAAGCTACAATCAAGGGACTAGCTGAGTTGTATTTCTCATCAAAGAAAACATCTTCTTCCAAGCTCATTCAGGATGTCGCAGGTTTCATTTTCTGGCAGTTGTAGAACTCATAGCTTCTTCAAAGCTAGGAAAAGAAGTGTCTGCAGCTTTAAATCTTACCTCCAGACCCTTCTTAAAAGGGCTCATCTGGTAGGTCAGACCTACTCAGGAAAATCTCCCTTTTGAATAACTTAAAGTCAATTAGTTAAGGGCCTTAATGACATCTGCAAAATTCCGACATTTGCCATAGTCTAACTTAGAAGCAAAATCTCAGGTCTCACTCAAGCTTGAGGGAAGAATACATAAAGGCAGATACCAGGAGGATGGGATGCAAGGCAGGGTTGGTGAGGGGGGGCATCTTAGAATTCTGCCGACTACAAGAGGTAAGGAGGAAATTGGAGTTATAAGAATAAAAGCATTGAAGAGTTATTGCTAAGTGTCTTTGATGTACTACAGCAAGATACTGAACAGCTGATGGTGAGCAACAGGCAATTAAAATCCAGGCATGAATGTCAGTATCCTTTCTGACTGCATACAAAGTGGCTCTCATTTCCTTCCAGGGGAGGAGAAAGAAATCCAAGTAGCTGAACCTAAAAAAAAAAAGTTAAATGCCCAATCAAGAGAGCGCTGTAATCAGGACCTTGGTGGAAAAAACTTGAGACTCTGACACACAGGATGGGAACATCTGACTGGATCCCTTGAACTCATGCTCCATATACTCATCTGCAGGAGTGATTCATCCCAGAATAGTGAAAGAGAATGCAGAGGCCACTCCACTCTGAGGCAATGGGTATCTTGCAGAGTCTTCCCCCACTGCCTCTTTTGGCCACTAGGCATAAAGCTAAGATTCAGTCACAGCATAATCAACTGGAAAAGTGCTCAGCATGCTCAGAGAAAAGGTATTTCATTCTGAGATGCATCATCAAATAGCAAACATAAAATTAGGAAGAGAAAAAAGCTCACTCTCCCAAGATATAGGATTTTACACCTTGGCAAGGACCCTAGGGCATGGTGCAAATTTGTTCCTGGGATGGCTTCTAGAAGCAATGGAAAAAGTAATGCCCATACAGTGAAGCTGGAATGCCAGAATTGCCATAATAAATGATTATGGGATTAAAAGCTTCATGGCAATGGGCATGCTGAAGTTCTACAGGGCCTTTAGATGATAATGTTCCATAGGAATGTCCATAAAATACACCATTTACCGAAGGCATAAAAAATGTGCTAATAAGAGGAGCACTGGCATTACTAGAAGGTCCAGTATTGAGTTTTTGCAAGCCAGGGCTCAGAGTAGGAGGGGGTGTTACAGAACTTTACTCACTGCTAGCAGTGGTGATAGTATGACTCTCACACCTAGAGGTCAGGAGGCAATATATAAGAAGCTGCAATAGCCATAAAGACTGGCAAGATCAGAATGGCGGCCAAGACCTAAGGTGATGGCAGTAGAAGGATTCCAAAATCCTTAAGGGCAAAATAGTCAGGCAGCCAATAAGGATATTACTTTATGCCAATAGAAGAAGCCAAGCATAGATGACTGGGAAGCAAAAAGCAGTTGCCTCCCCAAAAGCTAATCACTTTCCCAGTTTGTGGACTTGAACTTCTTTCAAACCTGGAACTCACTCCCTGATGACATGGACAGAGCCCTGGGACCAGGATGCTATAACACCATTGCAAATATATAAACAGTAATGACTCCCCCAGCCCTTCACCAAAGGGAACTAAGGCCACTTACATAGCTGTGCAAAGGAAGGGGGGAATATCTATCCATTTCAAGACTATTGAACACAGGGACTGAGTTGACATTAATATCAAGGTACTCAGAACATTGTGAAGACCTTCCTGTTAGAATGAAAACATATATGAGGACCAGGTAATAAAGTCTTAGCAATGCTCTGACTTACAGTGAGTTATTGGTCTTATGGACCCAGGGCTATGATAATACTTCCACCCTCTGTCATAACACAGTGAGAAAACTGTCTAGCTATCCCACAGTACATCACATTGATCGAGTACATTGGTGGCATCATGTTGATCAAACCAGGTATACAAGATATACAAGAGGTAGTTATGACGTTGAAGACTTTGGTAAAACACATGAGCTCAGAGGATGGAAGATAAGTTCTGTGAAGAATAATAAATTGTGATCAAGGACATGCTGTGTCAGTAAAATTTTTAGTTTTCTAAGAGTCAGGAATACGCGGGGTTATCCCTTCCAAAGAAAGGCCAAATTATTCCTTTCTGCACTTCCTACCATGAAGAAGGAAGGACAATGCCTAGGGATTGCTTTGGTTCCTGGAGGCAGCGAATTTGATACCTAGGACCACTGCTCTGGTCCTTATATTTGGTACCATATAATGCTGTCATCTTTGAGTGGAAACGAGAGAAGGAAAGAACTCTGCACCAGGACCAGGTTGTGATACAAACAATCTTCCACTAGGGTCATACTCTCTAGTAGACCCTATGATGTTGAAAGTATCTATGATAGAAAAAGATGTTAAGTGGAGTTTGTGGTAAGCCCCAGAGAAAGAATCACAGTGTATGCCTCTGGAGCAGCAGAGGCGTGCCATCAGCGAACAAACAATAAAGACCAAGCTGATCACCTAATCTGGCATTATTCCTAGAAGAACATTTGGAGGGAAATTGACTATAATTGGTCATTAGCATCCTGGAAGGGTCAGTGGTTCATTCTTACAGTAATAGACACATATTCTTGATATGAATTTGCCTTATCATGCTGAGGTAAGGCAGTGAGCCTCAGTGAGCACCGATATCTTGGAATATTTGGTGTATCTGACCCACTGGTCTATTGTTTCCATATAATATCATCAGACCAAGGTACAACTTTACAGTGAAGAAGTTGTGGAAGGGGGCCGAAGAACATGGTATATACTCGCTGTATAACAGATAACATAATCTAGAAGCTGCCAGCCTAATAAAGCATTGGAAATGCCTACTGATGGGGCAACTGAGCTAAAGCTGAAGCACTTATTGCGAGGCAATATACTACAGGAATAGGATACCATTCCCCAGGATGAATTGTATGCACTGAACTACAGATCTTTACATTGGTCCAGGAACCAAGGGCTGGAAACAGGAGTGATCCCACTTACTGCCATTCACAGTGACTCACTGGGGTGATTTGTGCTTGTTGCCTCCTGCAAGTCTGGACTCTGCAGCTTAAAGGTCCTGGTGCCCACGTGGGTCACCAGGGCACAGTTAAGAGTCCCAATAAATTATAAGCTGAAACTCACTGTGTCCTTGCACCAAAAAGAAGACAATCACATTCTTGACAGAGGTGATTGACCCTAATCATCAGGAGGAGGCAGGGCTCCTAAGACGGAAATATAGGGGTATATGTGTAGAACCCAGGTGATCTCCTGAGGTGCCTATTAGTACTCCCCGGCCTGATGGTGAGTATAAATGGACAGTTTCAGCAATCACAGCCTGAGAAGGGCATGATGACCAAGTGCTCACATCTTTTGGAGATAAAGACCTGGGTCATAACACATAGTTAAGGAAACCAAAGGACAGTAGAGGAGTGAGACAAAAAGTATCCATTTCAGCGTCAATCCCAAATGTCACAGAGGGACTATGGTTTATCCCATTAACTTCCCATTTCTAAGGTTTCCCACAGAAAGGGATGTCCACCAGAATCCTGGAGGCATCGTTCCCACAACATATATCAAAAAGTGGGTCGGAGCAGTGCAAATATTGGACTGTAGAATATATGAATATGTTTCTTGGATCCTCCTTCAAGAAGACTTGCTGACCATCTGCAGGAATTATAATCAGAAGACAGCATCCAGGAGTTAGCTCTTTGGGGTCAGCCTCAGTTACAAAGAGGCACCCTACCAAGCTCATGCCCTTCTCCCACATCCACTGAATGAACACACTGAAGGGATGAAGACCAGACCATTTTGACCCAACTCAGACAAATCAGTCAAGCAATATTCAGTCCAGAGTTCACTGCCACATTGGCTGAGGCTGTGTTATACAAGTATACCTTATTTTTATCACACTTCAATGTATTGTGCTTCACAGATACTCTTTTTGGTTTTGTTTTACAAATTGAAGGTTTGTGGCAATCTTTTGTTGAGCAAATCTGTTGGCACCATTTTTCAACAGCATGTGCTTGCTTTGTGTCTCTGTCACATTTTGGTAATTCTCACAATATTTCAAGCTTTATTATTATTATTATTACTGTTATATCTGTTACAGTGATCTGTGATCAGTCATCCTTGATGTTACCATAATAATTGTTTTGGGGTGCCACAAATCCCAACTATATGAGAAGACAAATTTAAGCAAAAAATATGTGTACGTTCTGACTGCTCCACCAACTGACCATTCCTTCATCTCTCTTCCTCTCCTTGGGCCTCCCTATTCCCTAATATATAAGATGAAAATTTGATCGATTAATTTATAACCCTACCATAGCTCAAGTGTTCAAGTGAAAGGAAGAGACTTGCATTTCTCACTTTAAATCAAAAACTAAAAATGATTAAGCTTAATGAGAAAGGCATGTCAAAAGCCAAGCTAGGCCTCTTGCACCAAACAGCCAAAGTTGTGAATGCAAAGGACACATTCTTGAAGAAAATTAAAAGTGCTACTCCAGTGAACACACAAATGATGAGAAAGCAAAACAGCTTACTGCTCATACACAGAATGTTTGAGTGGTCTAAATAGAAGATTAAGCCAACCACAACATTCCCTTAACTCAAAGCCTAATCCAGAGCAAGGCCCTAATCTTCATCAATTCTATGACGGTGGACAGAGGTAAGAACTCTGCCAAGGAAAAATTTGAAGCTAGCACAGGTTGGTTCATGACGGTTAAGAAAAAAGTCATCTCCATAACATAAAGTTGCAAGATGAAGCAGCAAGTACTGATGTAGAAGCTGCAGCAAGTTATACAGAAGATCTAGCTAAGATCACTGATGAAGGTGGCTGCACCAAGCAACACATTTTCAATGTAGATGAAACAGCCTTCTGTTGGAAGAAGACTAGGACTTTCACAGCTAGAGAGGAGAATTCAATGTCTGGCTTCAAGGCTTCAAAGCTTCAAAGGACAGGCTGACAGTTTTGTTATGGACAAATGCAGGTGGTGTATTTAAGTTGAAACCAATGCTCCTTTGCCATTCCAAAAATCTGAAGGCCCTTAAGGATGATGCTAAGTCTACTCTGCTTGTGCTCCATCAATGAAAGAGCAAAGCCTTGGTGACAGCATAGCTGTTCACAGCATGGTTTACCGAATATTTTAAGCCTATTGTTGAGACCTACTTCTCAGGGAAAAAAAAAAAAAAGGATATCTTTTCAAATATTATTCTTCCCTGACAATACACCTGATCACCCAAGATCTCTGATGGAGATGTACAAGGAGATTAATGTTGTTTTCATGCCTGTTAATGCAGCATCCATTCTGCAGCCCATGGATGGGGTAATTTTGACTTTTAAGTCTTTGTATTTAAGAAATATAGTTCATAAAGCTATAGTTGCCATAGATAGTAATTCCACTGATGGATCTGGGCAAATCAATTGAAAACTTTCTGGAAAGGATTTGCCATTCTAGGTGTCATTAACAACATTCCTGATTTATGTGAGGAGGTCAAAATATTAACATTAAAAGGAGTTTGGAAGATGTTGAGTCCAACCTTCACAGATGACTTCAGTGGTGGAAAGAACTGTAGATGTTGCAGAAATAGCAAGAGAACTAGAATTAAAAGTGGAGCCTGAGGATGTGAGTGAATTGCTGTAATGTCATGATAAATCTTGAATGGATGAGGAGTTGCTTCTTATAGATGAGCAAAGAAAATGGTTTCCTGAAATGGAATTGATTCCCGGTGAAGATACTGTCAACAATGTTGAAATGACAACAAAAGATTTAATATATTACATAAACTTAGTTGATAAAGCAGTGGCAAAATTTGAGAGGATTGGCTCAAGTTTTGAAAGAAGTTCTACTGTGGGTAAAGCCTTATCAAACAGCATCCCATACTGGATAAATATTTGTGAAAGGAAGAGTCAATCAATGTAGCAAACTTAATTGTTGTCCTATTTTAAGAAATTGCCACAGCCACCCCAACCTTCAGCAACCACCACCCTAATGAGTCGGCATCTATCAACAATGAGGCAAGACCCTCCACCAGCAAAAACATTATGACTCACTAAAGGCTCAGATGATTGTTAGTATTTCTTAGCGATAAAGTGTTTTTAATTAAGGCATTGCATTTTTGGACATAATGTTATTGACTACTTAATAGATTACCGTATAGCATAAATATAACTTTTATATGTGCTGGGGAACCAAAATTTTGTGTGACTCACCTTATTGTGATTTTCCTGTTATTGCAGTGGTCTGGAACTAAACCTATATTATTCCAAGTTATGCCTGTACTTATACATCTCATCTGTACAACCCACTTCCTTGACTTTTTTCACAGCTGTTGGTCCCTAACAAAATCTTGTACTTGAAACTCCAATCCAGTGTTTGCTTCCAGAGAACTCAACCTACAACAACAAAGTAGCTACAGAAGGCACCTAACATTCCTAGGGCCAGGAGAGCAGAAAAAAGAAGTTAGGTTTACTAGAGTGGAGATGATTAAAGAACATTTCCTGCAGAGTAAGGACCCAGGCCTCTAAAGACAGCACAGTGAACAGCTGCTGCTGCCTTAAGAAGTCAGAGGACCACAGCCCTGCTCACTCCAGGGCTGCTGCTGGTATTTCTGAGGAAAAATGAGAGGGGTTCTAAAAGTGACAACAGAACTGGAATCTGAAGCCAAATGTGATTACCAGAGCGAATGGCCCCAGCCAAAATAATGGTGACATTCATGGTAAGCACACAGGAAAGAAAGCTCCCTTCTCCCTCATCATCACTCCAGGCTACTTCTACTGCCCCCTTTTAGCATAGCTAAATATGCCAAACAGAAATGAGGTGTGTAGGCACATCCTGAACATTACATAGTATAGCAAAAAACAAAAAAAAAGGGGGAGGGTTAGAACTGAGGGACACCAGTACAAGACTATCTTTTCTGTGCCTTTTCTCAGGAAACATAAAGAGATGACTTCTGGGAAAATGAACCTTTAATATTGCTTAAGACACCATAGAGAAGTAAGAATATGCTAGGAATCCTTTGCTGTGATATCTAATGCTTGTGATCCTGACATGAAATGTCCATGAAGTTTTGTTTAAACAGTAAGACATGCCTTCATATTTTTCTATTATTAAAAGAAAAATTGGAGATTCAACAATGAAGTATGAGGCGTAGTCTCCTTTTTCCCATTTCTCTTATTCTTCATCTTTTTTACTTTTTTTACGTTTCTTAAAAAGCACAAGTAAGCAATATAATAAAAAAGGAATCAAAGGAAGAAGGAACAATAATAACAGGTAACCCAACTTTCCCATCACATTTAATCCTTCCACGTTGTTCCTAGGAGGTGGGCCACTATCAGCACTACCTCCATAGCCTTTGTCCTTGCAGTAGGGAGGTGCCCATTCACGGTTGCAGTGACAGTGTTGTTTATTGTTGCAGACTCCCCTCATGTTGCAGGTCTGAGGCTGACAGGCTTGTGACAGATGAACCACACTGGCACACTTCTTATGGATGCAGATCTTTTCTGGACCACATACTGTGCCATCTTTCACCTGACCAATATCAGGTATAGACATCCCTAAATGATAATCAGTGCCCCAGCAAGTGGTGTCATTGAGGTGAAACTGCTGCACTGTAGAATGCTCCCTCAGATTGGGAATGATTCCTACATTTTCACACTGAACCCTCCCACACATGATATCGGGGGGCCAACATTTTACGTATGTTGTGCCTACAATACCACAGTGACCAAAACGGTTTCCTTGGGTGTTGATTTCTTCGTAGCAACTCTGAGATGCGCTCCTTGCATCTTGGCCAAAAATCTCTTTACATTGTATATCATGGTTATTACATGTCTTTTCATAGCAGAAGGCATTGACATTACAGGAGATCCCGTCCTGCACATACACATCATCTGGGCATTGATGGGATGTCCCATTGCACCACTCTGGAAGGTCACATTCACCAACTTGTTGTCTACATAAAGTCCCTGGTGGCAGAAATTTGCAGTCTTTGCAACACAATCCAAAAGCACAAGCAGCTCCAGGACTTAGAGTACAGTTTAACAGACAACAGGGATCTTCTGCACACTGCTGTGTGGTTCCACAGTCACATTCCTCTCCTTCTTCAACCACTAGATTCCCACAGTACTTCAGTCTAATGATATTCCCTGGATATGGAGGAGGGTAAATACATAATCCCCTACCGATAGTACTATCCCAATAATTGGCATAACTGCAGTTGCTAAATTTAGTTGTCAACTGTCTGTAGGGATGCATTATGCACCACTGTAGCTCACACACACACCATTCAGTGTCGTGTCGCATACCCAAATTATGACCAAGCTCATGGCTCAAAGTAATTGCAAAAATGACCAACCTGTTGTCTTCAAAAACGTCAACTCCACAATTAAAAAGATTATGGCATATTCCTTTAACATAGGCAACACCAAGCTTTACGCCTTGCATCTCTTTTATGAAAAGATGTGCAACATCATATTGTAGTCGATTATTAAGGTTATAAGTCTTCCAAGTAGCAAATTCTTCTAAAACATTATCTAGGTCTACATTGGTAGCAACTGGATTTGATGAAGTCCATATATCAATTCCAGTCAAAATTACATCAACCTCCAAAGGATCATAGAAGGAATCCACTATATTGATAATGTTAAATACTTCATGCTGCACTATTGATGCATTACTTTGAGAAAAAAGGTATCGACCATTATCCACGACCACCGCCAGCTCAACAAACCGCCAATGGGTCCACCAGCCAACAAAAGAACTTTGCTTCAGAGTGAAATTATATGACAATTGCAACTCCAATTGGCGTGCTATTTTCTCTTCTGTTAACCCACATCTCATAGGTGGAAACTGTGTATCATCACTGTCTATCTTATGTACTAGGTGTTCAAAAGTGGCAGAAGCACTAATTGGCTTGATTTCATAAAAAAGGTCATTTATCTGTAGCATTCCAAGAAATCCCCCAGAACAGGTACTAAGTGCAACCAAGGACTCAGGGACCTCCTCCACATAACCATGGTAGTAGCAGTCATCCTGGATGAAGGGCTGATCCTGGAGGAGGGCATGCTGCTCCGTGTAGGTGAACACAGGGAGGTGTGTGGCAAACAACAGCTTCTTTACCCTCATGTGGACAGTGTATCTCTGTCCCCCCAACCGCAGGCTATAGGAGAGCCATCCAGGAGCCTTTGCACCTCTGCCCCTGCTGATCACCTTCAAAGGGATTACCACTTCTGAGGAAGTGAAACCCTGGGAGGGCCTGGCCTGAGAGTGGCCAGAAATGGACAAAAACACCCCAAACCAAAGCAGCAGAAGAGTGACCCTGATGTGCACCAGAGGCTCACCCATTGCCATCATGAAGCTGTGATTATGGAGCCATCTGCCTAGAGCAGACGATGACAAGGTATGAGGCACTGCTGGTCTGGTTCCTCCCTCTGAGCTGTTCAGGGTGCTAGGCTGACCTTTAAGGATCTGGAATCTGCGTCCTGGTGGAGCTGGACCATCAGAGCTGCAGTGCTGAAAATAAAAACTGAAAGAGCCAGGATGGGGTGGGTGGGATGGAAAGAGTGAGGAGAGAGAGAAAAAAGCCAAAGTGATTCTTATATTTGGACCATATTTGAAGCAATAACATGCAAAGGATTCTCTTAATACATATGGGCAATAAGATTTCCAGATGGGGCAGATTGAACATAGTTGAGTTATTGTCAAACTTCCGTGATAGATACATAAAGATTCACTGTATACTGTTCTTTAAACATGTAAAATGGCAAGGCATTTTCCATACATTATTTTAATGTATTTATTTTATTTTATTTATTTTACAGATGGAGTACTGCTCTGTTGCCCAGGCTGTAGTACAGTGACATAACCATAGCACACTGCAGCCTTAAATTCCTGGACTCAAGGAATCCTCCCACTTTAGCCTCCAAGTAGCTAGACCTGCAGGCCTGCACTATAACGCCCAGCTAATTTTTCTTTTTCTTTCTTTTTTTTTTTTTTTTTTGGTGGTGATGGAGTCTCGCTATGTTACCCAGACCGGTCTCAAACTCAAGTGGTCTTGTCTCGGTCTCCCAAGGTACTGGGATTACAGGCCTGAGCTGTCATACCAGGCAAAATTATTCATTTTAAAGACATTGGCATCTGACACAAATCTTTCTTCCAACCAAAAACCTACTGACAACCTGCACATTCATGTGTACCACACATCCAAAACCCATCATTTTTTGTTCCTTTAATATAGTTTGCTCCATCTCCCATCTCCTATCCCAGATATTTTATGTATACCTCATTCTGCTCTAAATTGGTAGTCAAAAAAGCCCCGCTACAAGGGCTTATTAGTATTGGAAGACCTCCTCCAATCAAGACTTTTTAACTTTATAATATATTCTTATCTGCAGGAAAGCCCTGGGAATTCCAAGAAAGGAAGGCATATGATGGGGTAACATGGAGTGGGGCAGCTGTTTTGGGGCAGTGCACACAGCCCACTAGCATCATAATCTCTATCATAAGAGGCTCCTCCTGATTATGTCAATACAGATTTGATTCTATTTTTCACATGGCTGGTGAGTTACCTGGATCTACCGATTTCAACCTCAGTGTTCCAAAGAAAGCTACACAGGGGAGCTTAAGCCTAGAGTCCGTTCATTATAATGTTCAGAAGACCACAATTTGAGTAGACTTTAAAACCTTATTAGTGTTGAAAACAAATTCTGGCTCAAGTAAAAGCTAATTTTGCTCAGATCCTGACTTTCACTTAAAAATGTTGTTGATAATTTGCTCAATATTTGAAATCAAAATGTTAAAACAACTTGGGAGACACACTGTTAACACATACTAGTGGCCTCAATATTCTAAGAGCACAAATGAGCATGTGCAACATCCTTAGCATTATGATGTCAAGAAAACCTGTATCCTTCCGTGTGGGTTTCCAGAACTAACGGATGACCACCAGAAGCCACAAGAGGAAATCAGGACTACTAGGTGAGACCTCTTAGGAAAAGTATCTCTGATAGAGGTGAAATCCCAATTTAGATTTCTTCTCCATAGCTCTCTTCATAATATCCTTGTTATATGTCACAGAGTTTGGAATATTAAGATGGAAATGGGTGAAATGAGAGAGAATCATGAAAGAAAAAGCCTTATAAAGAAGATAAAACCTATATTAAGTATTGTCAGAAATATGATGAGGTTATAATACAAAAGCTTATTCCAAAGAATCTGTGATAGGCCAGTCCATGCCATCAATGCATTACTCCAGAGACAAGTCTTGAGGAAACACTGCCTTCCCATTAATTTTGTGAACTGGTATATTCTGAAGACCTTTCCTCTAATATTACTAGGATTTTAACCACTGTGAGAATCTTCCTCTGAATCAGTAATTAACTCTTTCTTCTACTTCCAGTAACAATTTAAAACTCATCAACACCCTATCTTATGATCTTTCCACTCACTCACAGTCACAGCCTAATTTTATGTTTCTCAAACTCAGGTCACAAACTATAAATCAATTTAGTGGGTCACAACCAAATGAAATACAACTGCGTAAAAATATCAGAGGGTTTTACACAGATCCTTAGTAAGACCTTCACACACTGTAACCAAAGTTTATATTCAATTTTCCATATCTGTTTATATCTGCACACTCTCATGCTCACTGAGTCTTAACGTAAACTAAACTACATTTCTTACTGTGGGTCACAGTCAAAATCCATTGGAAGAGCAGTAGCCAAATAATGAAAATGAAAGATTTTAGGGCAAAACTCTGTCCCTCTTTCTTTGCTGAAAATAAAATCCTATCTGTAGCTACAGTCATTCTTAACTCTCCCTGGGTTCTTGGATTCAATTTCAGTGAAAGATGTATCTTCCTCCAGTTCCAGCTCACAGCCCCTGTATCTGTGCTATGAATTCTATAGTCCTACCTACGACTTGAAGATTGACTACTATCAGATTTATCTTCAACATTTCCTTCATTACTTTCTCTTTACCTCCAGTACATGAACATGCTTAAATCTTTACTAACCTTAAAAATATTTATCTTCCTTTACTCTCACATACTCCCAAGGCTTCCATCTTGCCACTAGAGCTTTTTCTCCTTAATGGACAAGAATCGCTTACCAGCAAAATGAACAATTATGCCCACAGTCCCTTCCATGGCCACGGTCATCAATGGTCTGCATTGCCCCTCTCAAGAAACAAATATAAGAATTGACACCTCACATGGTAAAAGGAAACAAATCTCTGTAGATCTCACAGAGGATTAAGCTCTTGATCTAACTGCTTAGTAGCAAGGTCCTCTCAGTTACAGACCACACCAAGAGGCTCTTAAAGTCAATTGACTCTGCCTCCACCACGTCTATCCAGTTTTCTTTTTCTGTCCCTCTCCCTCATGCAAATGTCAGGTCAGCCTCTTCAACCCCATCCAATGAGCTCCACACACAGCATATGCTCACTTCTGCTTTAGGAACTTTATTCATGCTCTACCCTTATCTAAACCATCTAAACTTTCCTCATTCTTGAACCACATTACAGTATCCTTCAATGTTCAGATTAAATTTAACTTCTGCTTTGCATCATGAGTATTCTGTAAACTTCTGTATAAGCATCATATACAAATATTTATGTATACTATCTGCTCTTTTATGTACGGTTCTACCACATCACCAAACTATAATTTTGTAGAAAAATATAGCAGAAATCTTGTTAATGATGTAAAGTGTTCACATTTTTGGCTAAAGAAAGCTTAGTGTCCTTAATATGATTTCAATTACGTTAAAACCTGCATAAAACAAAGGTGAATGTGAAATTCAATACAATATTAAAAGTAGCTGACTTGATGACACACTTGGGGAGCTGAGTTTGGAACAACTGGGAGATAATCTTATATCTTTGCCATCTACTATCTTCTTTTTTAGAGATATGGTTGTGAGGAAATGGATCAGAAGTGAATAAATAAGGATCAATTAAGTGCATTTTCTAAGAAAGTCTTTTTCATATTCTTTTCATGATTATATTAATGACTAGATGATTTATTTCTTTTCATGATTATATTAATAACTGGATACATAGGTTTCCCCTAATGTATGGGGGGCTGAACTGTTCCATATGTCCAGGCAGAATTAGAGAATCCTCTCTTAGGATGTGTTAAACAAAAAAGTTTCCTCATTGCAGAGCTTAGTGGACACAATCTGACCTATGCCAGATTTGACTGACAATGATGAAAGAAATCACCCAAGAAATGAGAGGCTTGGGAAAATATACAAACCTAAGCCTGAAAAGGTTTTGACAAGGACACAGTAGATGATGCTATCGAGAAGAGAAAACTATAAACAGGCTGATAGATGGCTGCATGAAAAGAGAGTTTCCTTGGGTCCGACCGAACGGGCAGTCACCTGGAGCATCTGTGTTAGAGAATGACGGAAGCTTCCTAAAGCAGGTTTGACTATACCTGGTGTGTGGTAAAAATAATTTAATATGCATCTAAAAGCAAGACAAACTGTTACAAGAGACAAACGGTGAGACTATATAATGATAAAGGGTGCAATTTATCAGGAAAATATAACAATTAGAAATATATGCACTCAATGTTGGAGAACTCAAATATAGAAAGCAAATATTGACATAATTTAAGGGAGAAATAGAAAGCAACAAAATAATAGTAAGATACTTCAATCCCTATTTTCAATAATGGATAGAACATCCAGACAGAAAATCAATTTTAAAAACTAACTTTATATGGGCTAGAAACTGTACAACAGCTATCCTCATATGTGATGGGATTGCTGATTCAGACTTCCTTATCTATCCATACAATTTTGTTATGTCCAGAGTTCTAAAGCCATTTTATAATACTGCAGTATCCCTTTTCTTTTATCTTTTTCTTTTTTCTTTTTTTGAGATTGTGTATCGCTCTGTCACCCAGGCTGGAGTGCAGTGGTGCAATCTCAGCTCACTGCAATCTCCACCTCCCTGGGTCAAGCAATTCCCCTGCCTCAGCCTCCCAAGTAGCTGGGATTACAGGCACATGCTTGGATAATTTTTTTGTATTTTTAGTAGAGAACAGGGTTTCACCATGTTGGCCAGACTGGTCTTGAACTTCTGACCTCAGGTAATCTGCCCACCTCGGCCTCCCAAAGCGCTGGCATTACAGGTGTGAGCCACTGCGCCCAGCCAGTATTCCTTTTCTACAGCCATATTAAAAGTTACAAGCATTTATTTTCCAATTTAGTTTTACTTTCAGTACATATCAAAATTGTACTCTTCAGATCAACAAACTAACTTGAGACAAATTATATAGCTTTCTGCACATCTTTTTTTCCTCAGGTGTTAATCAAAGAGTGAAAATGGATACTGCTTTAGTAATGTCTGCTTTATTCTTAAAATTTCTTTTGCTAGATGTAAAGCTTTGGTGTTAACAAAAGTGATTTTAATATGTAACTATGAATGAATGTCTTTAGTTTACCCGTTTGTCTATTATTATTTTCATTTATCCTTCAGAGAGGAGGATCCTTTCATGATCTTGAATACATTTCATTAGATATCATTGCATTTTAAGAATGAAAATACAACCGTTTTCTGTCTTAGATTCCTGCTGCTATGAGAAGCTGAAAATCAAGAATGTGATGCACTTTTTACATTACTATATATCATACATATACCATAGGTTGCTTTGATACCTATCCTGTAGCACAGCCACTAACAAGAGTGAGTTAATTGTAAAATTCTCTTTGAGAAGGATTCAGTACAAGTAACTAATTCTTAGCTGGCAGTGGCTTATGAAGGACAATAACTTAGGAACGTAAGAATTCTGTTAATAGTGCACTTTTTCGCCTTAAATGTCTTCTAC